AAATACCTTCCGAACGCGCTTCCGGCGTACAGCCTCAATCTCATAGTAGCCATCGGCGAGCTTCGTCCTCTTTCCCTCCTCCTCTCCAATCAGCGCGTCCTCCAGCTGTTCGTACTCTCTCTCAGCTTCCGAAAAATCCTCCTCTTCTCCTTCCTCTTCGAAATCCTCCAGCGCGCCTTCGATTTCGCCGCTGTCGTTTTGTTCCTTGGGCCCCTCCTCCCCTTCCACAACGCCTCCGCCGAACGCCGCCGCGCCGGAGGTGTGGTCGGGAGGCGGAGGAGCGGATGGTGGCTGTGCGGGGTCAGTACTGATATTCCTTTTTTTCACGCCTTTCATTCTCTCTCTCTAAACAGTGGGTCTACTTTTTCTCTCTCTACCTAGAGTCCACCTTTGGTCTTTCAAATATTTTTTTGGGGCCCTTGGATTATATTAATTTTTAATTTTCTCTTTTCTTTTTTTGTTTTTTTGTAAAACGTAGAATAATTATAATCTTCTATGATATTATAGATATCGCAAAATGTTGGTTTTGTAGATGTTATTACACAACACATTTTAACAATTTTATTTATTTAGAACTTTAAAAAGGTGAATTTGTAAAGTTTGTTACATTTACCATTCGTTTGTGTGTGCATAAATTATTTTTCAACAAATGTGTCAATCAGCTAGTTGCAACAAGTATATAATAATAAACATAACATAGTATATTTACTCATTAACACTTTGACTACTATGTACATCCACTAATTTTAAAGTAATTAATAATGTTACGTTAAAATATTGTTAATTTATTCAGTGAATCACCATATAATACAATAAATGTATTTTTAGTTATTCAATAGACTCCATATAAATCAGTTATATCATATATCACTAAACTGAATTATGTATAAGTTGAGATGTATATTAGATCTATTACTATATAATAGAGAGAAGAAAAAATATTTAAAAAATTATTTCATTTTACCGCTAAAATCACTTTTTTCCCTCTAATATTTTGTTTGAAATTTTTTCGAAAATTTGAATTTTTTTCATTCCGAAATTCAGTATGTTTTGGATGAGTTCAATATGTTTTGGATGAGATTCCTTCCATATTGGATAAATTCAAGTTTCTTTTCATTTGGAAAACATATTTTTATTTTAGCAATATATTTGACTTCCTTTTTTTTAACCGATTATATTGGTCTTCTGTTTAAAATTGATTTTTTTTAATTAAAGAATGTACCAGTTTCCTAAACATGATAAAAACATATCACTTCAAATATTTTTTAAAATTGAGGATTCCAACTACTATGATTAATGTGATTAGTACTAACTGATTTTGTTAAATAATATCTTCATTGATTCACCCCAACACGTTTGATAGGTCGGTTCATGAGTCAGTTATGATGCATAAAATCACACAATAGTGGCTATTCCATATAAAACTATTTAGAATATAACAATTTAAAAATTGAGGATTCCATATAATGTAGGCTCAAAAGCTACGAATTGATTTATTCCAAAAATTGAGGATTTCATATACTACAAATTGATTTATTCTACAAATAATTCACAACTTTACGGTTTAAATAATACAATATGTACATAATTTCCCTTAAAAATTTGATCAACCAACACGATTTTGATGATAATTTTCAAATTGATCTGTATTCCTGAATATCAGAAAGATTTTTGAACAAATATTAGTTAATAAAATTTAAAATTTGTAAAATTTTAGAGAATTAGTTGATAAATGTGAACAATAAGGTAACCCAAAATAAATTTAAAAAATTGAGAGATAATATGTATAAAGAATTTATTGTGTAGTCTAAATTTGGTTTCCAAATTTAAAAGTCAAATAAGTTATTCTTAATAACTTACGGGTTAGTATTAACTTGGACGTAAATAGAATAATCAATTATTTATAGTTTAATAAATTACTCAACTACTTAATATTTTTATTTAGATAGTTTATACAAAAATAAATTCAATTTAGTTAATGAAATAATATAGTTTTATAACTGTACTTATTATTCACATAAATTTTTAAATATTCATAACATTTTATCAAAATTATTATTTTATGGAATTACATTGTAGTTAAATTGAATTTCTGAATGAAAATTTTAAAACGACACTTATTTTGAAATTATATCTATCTATACTTATATTAAAGGGGGTACTATTTACTAAATTAAGTAGCCAGAAAAGTCAACAGCATTTATTGCATTGCTATTTCCGTATTATACTATATAAAATGATACTCTATTTATTACATTTACTATCTAGAAAAGTCAACTGCATTAAATGTCATTACTATTTTAGTATTATAATATTTTATTTATTTAATTGATTTATTTATTTGTTTTATTTTAAAAAGGTAAGTATAATAAAAAGATTTTAATAATAAAAAAATTAAATACCAAATAAAAATGTACACTTTGACTTATTTGATTATATTTGGTATTTGATTATACCAAATATATTTCTATTTAGTATATACATTAAATACTTACTAAGTGTTTATTTGTTTTATTTGTCAAAGTTAAGTATAGATTTGTTTATATTATCAAATCATAAAAAAAATATTAAATCCATATTGTAAAAAAAAAAAATCATATAATTTTATAACAATTCTACTACACTATTTAACAATACTCCTTTTTTATTATATAATAAAATAATAATTAAATATTATATGGTAAACAACAATAAGTAAAACTGTTACTTTCTCTTATATCAAGTGATAAATTTATATGCTAAAATTAAATTTTTATTAGTATAAATGTTTTAGTGAGATAATATATTAATTATTTTACAAGCTAGCTCTAACATGCTCATATTATGTTTTAAAAGATGTAGAAAAAAAACTTATAATAACTCTATTGTTTTTTAGACTTAAACGTTGATTAAAAGAGGTAAAAATTCCTAATTTTTTAGACTTAAACGTTGATTAACACCATAGATTGAGAGTTTATATTTAGTAAAATTTTTAATTGTAAAGAAAAATAAATAAATTTTGCTATATTTTAGAATATCTTTAAATTCATTATAAAAAAAAAAATACAATGAAAAAACAAGTCAGCTATATATCGATTTGTTGTACTCCTCAAATCACATTCACAATTTGGCTACAAGGAAAGGAAACTCATTGATTAAAATATTATTTTGTCAGTAGTCTTAATGTACAAGAGACTTTAAGACTCCACTTGAATATTATAAAACTTTTGTTGAACATTGTACAATTTCTTGCGTATTATAAACTTTTATTAAATATTGCATCGTATAATATAATATTCTCCAAATAAATATATCTCGTGCTTCGCACGGGTCACGTACTATATATATCCCGTATAGTTTTCTTTATTCATGTATATAATTATAAGCCTGGATTTTATAGCCTTAAAATTATGCACTCCGTGCATCGCACGGGCTCTGTACTAGTAACAATTAAAAATGCATTGTATTTTGTGCCTACTTGTCTTACAAATTACAATAATTAGATTATTGATTATCATGGCTACTTGTTATCTAATTATACTAGAAGTCTATAATGCATAAATTTATTGGTATATAACATAATCCAATTAATTCATGCATTAAGCTTTATAGCCATAATCCAATTTTGTGTTTTTCATTTTTATGATTGATTATTATTTCTTATATTTTGGTTATCGATTTTTATGATATATGTTATATATAATTTTGGATATTTTGATCAGTTCTTAATTCATAACCGTTTATTTTGACGATTTTTTTTTTTCATAAATCAATTACTTTAGTGTGTCGTATATGGATCGACCTAAGCCCAACTAGACTCGATTTACCTAAGACTCATATTGCTTATAAACTATTTAGTTATTTTTTACCAGGTAATATTTTTTGAACTCAAATTATAATTCTAATTCAATTCACTAAATTCTTTTCAATATTATCAATATAATTAAATAATATTAATAAATTATCATCACACATCACATCAACTTTAATTCACTGTTAATCTACTAATATAATTTTAACTACACATCACTTTCAATTACATATTTCATATTTTTACATTAAACTGACTTTAATACAAGCTCAAAATCCCACTCAAACCTAATCCAGTCAACCTTTTAAAAATTAATTTTGGTTATCAAACAAATCCAACAAAATCCAAAATAACTTATAGCCAATCACCCCCTAATATCATTATATGAGAAAGTTTCCACTGGGGATTCATCCTGATTCCTGAATCCTGATTGACGTCTTGCTTAATCACAACATGTATAATTTTTTAAAAAATTAAGAGTGCGCTTGACATGTGATACTATAACTTATAACTATTGTGTTATATAATTTGATAGGACGAGTTTTTTAAAACAACTAGTGTGTAGCCCGTGCTATGTAAGGGTAAGTAATACTAATAATTCCAACCTTCAGCGAGTAGGTTCCCCGCCTTCGGTTCTGTGAGTTTGGTTAGAGCATGATATTATTGGAGTGTCGTATCCTCGTCGAGTCCTAATATAGGCTTATGGCCTCTTTCATTGTACCAAAAAAAAAAAATAAAAAAATAATAATACTAATATTAATTATAAACTAAATATTAGGATAAGCAATATTAATTATAATTATAAATTAAAGATGTGGAGTTACATGTGATAAAATTTACTTTATATAGTCTATTGTAACAATATAAAATTATCTTATATAAAGAACATAAAAAAATTTATGTCTAAAATATTAAAATTGAGAGAAGATTTACATATTATATATAAAATAAATATTGAGATGATACCGAAAATTATTTCGTCATCAATTTGAGTATAAAATAAACGTAGACTTAATAACTCCATGCTTTATGCATATGCTTCATTTATCAATTTTATATAATAATTTTAAAATCTCATTATCAAAATTTGTATTCAAATGTATAAAATAAACGGAGACATAACAATTCTATGCTGCATATACTTCATTTATCAATTTTATGTAATGATTTTAAAATCTCGTTGTTATTAAGATTTTTATTCAAACACGTATCAACAAAATACACATCTTTGAGATTTATGATGAAATATGAATAAATGATTTCTTTATAAAAGAAATCCGTATTTATTTGTTTTTGAAAATCAATGCAAACTGCAGAAAGTTTTTGTTCTGAATAAACTCCTACAATTCTAATTAAATCATATTATTCCAATTTGAATTTCATGATGGTTTTAAAATCTGTACACGTGGTCATAATCTATATCAAGTAAACAATCCCCATAATTTTAGAAATCAGTATTTATGTGTTTTTGAAAATCAATGCAAATTGCTTGATAGTTTTTTTCTAAGAAACTCCTACATTTCTAATTAAATTATATTATTCAATTCAATTTGAGTACGAATTTAAAGTTTCAATTTGAAAATGAATTTAAAAATCTGTACACTTGTTGATAGTCTTTCAAGTAAACATAGTCCCAATTTTTTTTTTTTTTTTTCGTTATTAAGTTTTTTATTCCAACAAATGATGTGGTGAAGATTTATTAAGTGAGTACCTATGATGTATGGATTAATATCCAATGTTGTAGCATACACTTTTTTTAATGGCATAAATATAATTGTGTAATTTTTTCTTTGCATGGACGGTATAATTAGTGCAAGTTAATTAAATGAAGTTAATTTTTTTAATAAAATTCAATTAGGTTTTTTATTTTTTTTTATTAACATGAATGATGCAAACTCGTACCATTTTAAATTCTCCACAATTTGAATTACTCCTTAACTTTTAAATACTGCTAAATTTCATATCTATCATTATTTATGCGGACAATTTTGTAGGAAAGTTATTAGGAAATTGTTAACATTTGAATTTGAATTAAACATTTGCATGAAAATTATTAGAAAATTGTTAACAATTTAATTTGAATTAAAGATTTTTTTTTTATTTTTTTTTTCTATTTTCCCTATAAGTTCGTTAAAGCAACCATATTTTATTTAAACTTCTATCACTTCCTTATTTAGAAATTTTGAAATTTGTTTTGCCTGCTATATTTAGTAAATAGTAATTCTTTTTATATAAGTATAGATTAATGTAACTTTTATAAAAGCGTTCATTTCACCGACTTATAAGTTAATTACACTAAATAAGTAGTATGAGGTGATTAACAAACATACTCGGACGCCGAGCTTTTGTAAGCTCGAAATTCAACTGAAAGTTAACTCATTTATCAGCTATTGGTTAGCTTTTAGGTAAATCATTTCAACGTTTCCGGTTCCGTTCATTGATAAAAAAAAAAAAAATGATAAGCACCGGCCGAGGCTTATTCACAACGGTGGTTAGCTCCGCCAAGTGCCACCTCACATTTCCGAGCTCCAATCCAATGGCGTGCATTTCTTACGCAATCTCCAGACTCGTCCGCCCAACCGCCGCCGCACCGCCGTCGCGGAAGTTATCGCTCCCAATCCTCATCCGCGGCAAGGTATCGGCGGCTTATCCTGCTCTTCCCTTGTCCGAAACAGGAGAAATAAGAAGCACCGAGCTCGTCGCCCGTGAATACGCCGACCTCAACCTCCCCGACAGACTCTGCAAGGTCTCGCTTAATTCACATGAGCTTTTGGCGTTTTATCTTTAGTTAATAGGATTAGGGTGATGCTAAAGCATTGAACTTTGCACGAATCTTCCACCACTCCTAGGTTTTCATTATTGATTTCGTTTTTGTTTTCATTGTTGATTGTTTTATGTTTTGCAAGGGGCATTGCAGGAGGTGGGCCATGTTCGAATCCGGCAGCATGTCAATCCTCTCAGTTCCTCTTCCATGGTATTTCTCTGTTGCTGTGTACTGATTCATTTTTTCTTCTGAATGTGCTCTTTTGTGTGGTTGAACAATTAGTACACGCTTACTGTTGGGAGTATATGAGTGTAAGCAAATGTTCTTGTTTTGGGTCAGTTTTATCTTTGTTCTATTTCAAGTAGAGAAAATTATCTCCCCCAGAAAGAGTTTAAAGTCGTTCTGCTGTAATGTGTACAGATTCCTGTGGATGTACCAGAATGGAATGCCGTATATGAGGACTCGACATTGCCACTGATGGTGGATATTGGTTGTGGTAAGAGATTCATTTCTTGCGCTGAGGATCTTTATTCCATCTTTTGTTCCCACGTGTATGAGATAGAGGGGTGTGAAAAAATTGCATCTGTGAACATGTGAATGGGATAGAAAAGACCGTCTGGTGCTGTTATGGTGGAAAATTTGCAATCACATGCTTTGGCTCGACTATGTGATATAAAGCAAGTCAATCTGAAAACTACATTAATATTCATTAATCTATGATGAAGGATCCCGGTCTGACTTTTAACTTCATGTAATTATGTAGGAAGCCTAAGCTTTGTGCACGAACTTTTTGGTTGGATTTTCTCTTTTGACCGGCTTTATGTTGTCTGATTATATTCTTTGCGTATGTGTTACTGATTATCATGATAAAGCACTTGTCCGTTTATTTCTGGAAGATTGCATTTGGACGGAAGGAGTTGAAGCTAAGAGCCTGTTTGGTTGATCATGAAAACCCATGTGTTCAAATCCTTGATCTCCTGTTTGAACTAATTGTGGAGTCATTAGAAATTAACTTTTGCACAGTCCAATTTCACTCTTGGTGTTGCATTCACATGTTGATATTGGACTTGACAACATTATTTGTTATCTAAACTGTTCTTAGTTCAGGCAGTGGCAGATTCCTCATGTGGCATGCAAAGAGAAACCCCGGGTTAAGAAATTATCTGGGATTGGAAATACGTCCAAAAGTATGACACTTTTCTCTGTATTTGTATTACTGAACAAGTCTAGTTTTCCTTTCTGGAGCTTTGGACAAATTCAATACTCAGCTCACTGTTTATTTATTTATCTATTTATTTTTTCTTTCCCTGTGCGATGCAGTTGGTCAGGCGTGCTGGACATTGTGTAAATGAACTGGGGTTGAAGAATATGTAAGAATTCAAAAGCTCAGTATATCTTGATTTCTGAACCCACCTCAGCATAGGCATTGATAAGTGTGTTTTTTGCAGACATTTTGTTTTTGCCAATGCAACGGTCTCCTTCAAACAACTCGCATCAACATATCCTGGTCCCTTGGTTTTGGTATCTATTTTGGTGAGATATTTTCATCTATCACGATATTTCACGAGCAATATAATATTCTGTCAAATCTTTAGCTCGAAGATAATTTTCTGGAAGAGATATGCATATTGTAAGGTGAGCTGCTTATGGATTGTTAAAAAATTGAAATAGGAAGTAATACACTCATTTGTGCAGTGCCCAGATCCTTATTTCAAGAGAAAACATCATAAAAGAAGGGTTGTTCAGAAGCCTCTGGTCGAGTCAATCATAGAACTTATAGTTCCTGGTGGAAAGGTATGGCCTATTTCCTCACTTTTCTAGTAAATTTGTACTGTTTTACCACAAAGTACTTGTAAATTATAAACCTTGGTTGGGTAATTACTTATTAAGCTGTTTTATACTTCATTTTGCATGTTGATTTTCTCGGCTGATGATGCAAATATGAGAAAAAAGAAAAAAGAAAAAAAAAATCTGTATTGGCACGCAATTCCGGTTATACATTAAAACAGTTTTATTTATTCTTTCAGTGAGAGCTCCTTGCTCTGACCTGCAAACTTTTGTCTAATGTTTGCTCTCTTCAAAATTTAAGATAAATAAACAGCGACCTATTTTGTTTCTTTAACGTTTGACCTTTACCTTCTGACAGTCGATCGTATGCTTGCTTTTTTCTCTTGGGCAGATTTTCATACAATCTGATGTCCTGGATGTGGCACTTGACATGAGGAGCAATTTTGATGCCGAGTCGAATAGATTAGTACACATTGACAGTATTAACGGTGATATGCTCTGTGATCGTGATGGCTGGTTGTTGAATAATCCAATGGGAATAAGAACAGAAAGAGAAATCCATGAGGAATTAAAAGGTGCTCGAATCTTCCGAAGGATGTATCAGAAACTAAGGTACGGTTGTATCCTATCTTGTTTCCATCTTTAAACCAATTATTGTTGTATCCTATCTTGTTTCCATCTTTAAACCAATAATTATTCATACGTGCTAATGAGAATCACCGGAAATAAAAGGAAAGTAAATAAAGAAAGCAAGAAACAAATGAAGAAAAATAATAAAAAAAGATCTCTCTCTCTCTCTCTCATCTCTCTCTCTCTCTCTCTCTCTCTCTCTCTCTCTCTCTCTCTCTCTCTTTTTGGGGGGGTGAGGGGTAATTATGCTAACTTTAGTTATAGATTTTGTAATTAAGCAATGATTATAATGTGCAACGTGCATCACATTTTTTTAATGTTGTTTTTGTATGTTCCAGTTGAGACCTGCTACCTGTTTATAAAATTGTGCCCGTGCTATTGGATCGGAAAATGTTTGTCTCAAATCAGCTTTTATCGAGCCCCTTAAATCAGCTACACACTACTCATCTCAAATTATTGGCTTGCAAGATCTCCAATATTAGAGAAGATGAGATTTTGGCACTTATTACTTAGTTTGGACAAAATACAAATACTCTCCTTGGCGGTTATACTCGGGTACACTTTCAAAATCCAACATAAAATTGAAGGATTACTCGTTCTGTATGTTGCTGACCATGGGCGATTAATGTGTTTTGTTTAACTCCATTTTAGCTAAATCTCTATTCTGAGCAGTCTAAACTCTTCTGGACCTCGTGCAAGGAAAGAGCGTAAAACATTTGTTGGTTGTTGTTTCTAGTTGAAATGATTTTACTTGAGAATGCAGTCTCTAGCAGGTAGAAGTTGAATATTTTTCCAAGTGCAAGTTGAGAAGGATGTACACAAATGGAGAAGCTGATGTATGTGAAGTGTATTTTTATCTGTAGTTTGAGGTTACAGCATAAATAATCATAGTTTATCTTACAAATCTACAATGCAGCTCTTGTATTTGTGAGGGGTTTATTTTCTCCATAATTTTTTGTTTTTATTTTTCCAATATGAGTTTCCTCGGGATTGTTTTTAACCTCATAATATCAAAATCTCATCAGAGCTTCAGATTTGGCTGGGGCTTCTTTAGAAATCTTATTGAAGGAGCTCATAAAAGTGTTCATATCTTACTTTAGATTTGGAAACAAAACTTCGAAGTATGTGGCTATTATATAGCATTATGTAGCTAGTAAAGAGTAAAAGTAACACAATGAATTTAGCATACTATCATCATAATTACAATAATTTAGCAAAAATAATAAGATGTGATAAGATGACCCTGTTAGAACAATTCAGTCAACTAAAACATGTAAAATTGAATAATTCAGTCAATTGCAACATGTAAAAGCAACTCCATGTAAAACCTAAAGAGAGAAAGTGCTTGTTTTTCTAGTTGGCCATTAGCAGCCAGATTTCATATAAATACCACAAACTAATCACTTACTTAAAAAAAGTTAAGATTCAATTTCTGAGTTTCCATAAGAGTACATTTGTGAACAAGAAAAATCTACTATTTCATAAACTAGGAGGAGAAAATTGCTACCTGTTATGAAATAATAAAATAATGTATGTGAATGACTATTTTGCCCTCGATGTATTTGTATTATTACGAGTTGTGCCATCAGAAGTTTCCTATAAATAAGACCTTCAGTTATAATGAAAATCGTACCTAAGAGAATACATTTTCTCTATTCTCTCTCTTTCTCTCTAGTTTTATAACACGTTATCAGCACGAGTCTCTACCCTCTAGAACTTGATTTGTAATATGACGAGAGTATGCTCTACAGCTGCGTCTTATAAACGATCTTCTGTATCAGAAATCGAATTATTACAAATTATTATTTTCTTCAACTTCATACCGAAACTCTCGATTTTCTCATGTTCATTATAGTCCCTCGTCATAACCTACATAAATCAAGAAGGATCAGTTTTTGATTTGGGAAAGCTAGAAAAAACAATTGTGCTGCAAGGACTGAACTCCATAATGATCATTAGTCGGAGTCCCCCATTAGCACAACCAAAAATCAACACCTTTTTATTCAATAAATAGTTATATATATGAAATTAAAATAAAACAATAGAGAAAAATATTATTTACCTACTATTTACAAACAGAAAAGTGTTAAAGAAAAAAAATGAAATCTAAGGGTGAAAAATGCAATATTTTTCAATAGCACTTACATAGTTCATCCTCTGGCACTTGGAGCTCTATTTTGTGCACTTGGAGGTTTTCCCTATATCATTTGGAAAATGAAAACCATAACATTCAAGCTTCAGCAGTGGAAGCCAAGTTGAGAAGAAGGGCTGTAAAAACTGCCTTCTGACAACTGGCCACCTTCTCTTCAGGTAAGTAATAATGTAGCATATTTTAACTTGTTGCATAATTATTATCGGCAGCTATGGGCACCCACTTGATGAAAGAAAAAATAATATCTCTTATGCATTTGTCACACCAAACATTACATTTGACTTCGTGGGACCCTTGTCCCATTAATTCAAGTCTATTGATGTTTTATTAGTTAATATACATAAGTCTTGAAAGAGATATCAAATGAAAAGTCATACTTATACAACAAATGACGTGTTGTGTCCGTAAGACATTATAATGAAACATGAACATAAAATTTCAAATATTCATCAAGCTTCAGATAGATTTCAAAAGGCATACAGTATCAAAATTAGCATTTTACAATTTCATAATATTTCATTTAAATAGAGTTTCGATTTAAGACCAATATTGATATGATCTATTGAATTATATTAATATATATTGTCATTATGAACTGTTGATTTTCTTCTATTGAGAAAATTATTTGGTACATGAACGTACGAATATTTATGGATTGACCCTTGTGATATGAAAAGAAATATGTGTGGCTATATGGATCAGCCAGTGCGGCTCTGCTGCCGGCAAGTAATATTTAGTGGTAACCAACGGGTCAATTATTGATCAAAAATATTATAAAGAAATATGACCGATCATATGAAATGGCCAAGTGTTGCAGCCACCAGCAACAGATAATATTGAACGGCTAAATGGATCAGTCAGTATATTAATGATAACCGGGGATATAGAATGGCCAGGTGGCAACGCCACGTGCAACAAATGAATGGCTATACATATACATGGGTCGGCCAGTGCGGCACTGCCGCCGGCGATGGGCAGTACAAATTAAGTGATAGCCAATGAGTGAAATTAATGATACTTTGTATCTGACCATGTGAAAGTTAAT